AACAAAGTATGTAATCACTTTGGAGAAAGAATAAGTGTTTGAGAATGTCTGGGTAATTTAATATTGTGATACAAAATTTCTTTTTGCAAGGGATTTTGGTTGTTTTATGGTACAGTTATAATAGTTAAACATTCAGTGTTCAAAAAAATGCCAAGATAAACTGTGTATACTATCAAGCTGATGTGCACTATACTGTGAGGAAACACCATTTTTGTATAGATTGAATAACAATAACCTGTAGCTACATTTGAACAAAGCATACAGCCATGTGTCCAAATTAACATGCCAGTGCCTCACAAAGATGCAAGAACAAATCGGATTAGAGAGCCTTTGGTTTGTTCAGTCGGATCGTAGGAAGTTGTCATCCACATACAGTTGATAGACTGTTGAAGTCTTTTGCAGAGGAAATTGTTGCACATAGCAATTGTCCATAACTAGGTCATCATGTAGAATACTATCAGTGGTATCACCACTGTAGAACATCCCTTTCTAGTATTGGGAACAAAAATATTTAAGACACAATCAATATTATTACATTTAAATAAAGGGATTGGAATTTTCTAGTACATCTGAATGTAAATTTTTTGATAACTTTGTGGAATGTATGGAAGAGTACTTATATGTATGTTGTAGTATTCAACTTCAGCAATTATAACAATGAAAATGTCTAGATGCAATGTCACACAAAATTCATGCTCTTTTGTTGAGTAAGAGATAAAGGTTTATACTGATGTTTCTTTGAAGAGTAAAAAATGGAAATTCTACAGATAGAATATGGTAACCATTTAGTCACTAGCTTTGAGGCCTGTAATTAGTTCATCAAAAAGATAATGTACAACTGAGGTACTATTTTGGGGTAATAGTAACTGCCAAGCTTATTCATACTTAAAGAGTCCACACCTAGTCTTTTATCAGTGAGCAAAGCTAAACCAGAAATGGTTTTGGCAAAACATGTTAGCAGCACTTTCTATGCAAGAGCTTAGTGCTGCAATACAAATGAATTGGGAAGCACAAAGTGCCTGCGCCTCAATGATTAGCTGAAGGTATGAACAAAAAATACCAGTGTTGATGTGAATTTGCTCAGACATGGGATGTTTTTCAAAAATAAGCGAAGAATGAGGACCTCCCACCAGCAGCTTACATACAGTCTCTGTCTCCACATCCATTTGTCAAACTACCTAGGTTTCTGATAATCCATCCCTACTACAATGTGGCTGGGAGGAATACGGTGAAGCCATGCCACTGTTGTTAATGTCTCTAGATCCAGAATTTATGTGTAAAAGGGAAGACTTGTCAGAATGCTCATAAAGATGTAGAATCTTGAAAGAGGGACTCAGAACCAGATATTTTTGATGAAGAATAAAATGCAAAACAAACTGGCATGTTTTATTTTTGTAGCAACTGCATAATTTATGGTGGTCTTTATCATATAGCTTGGAAGTTAATATCTCAAAGGGCCTTAAAAACGTAGTTGAAACACTTGGAGTTAAAATGAAAGATGAAAACTGAACAATTAGGAAAAAAAAATGGAATGTCATGCTGTGAACAAACCAGTTAAGACACTAATGATATTTATTGTTATGAGAAGAGGAAATGCTAAGATATATATATATATATATATCATGTGTGAAAAGTAGTTTGGCACAGCAAGTGACGAGTCCTCATGTGGGTAAGGTATCCACATTCTAATGATGCTCCTTCATGTTATTAAAAACATATTTCCACACCTAGAGTTGATACAAAATATGTTTCTGTCTTAAAAGTGGAGATACATGATGACACCTGATCTCAAATTAAGCCTGAAAGATAAACATTTCAGATGGTACCAAGAAAGTAATGTTGAGAGGTGGGTGCAACAAACTCTTTTTCAGATGCTTGCTTCGAGACTATCACACTGTTATTAGGTAGTTACAAATTATTTCTTTTGCTAAAATTATTCCAAGTTGTCTTTTGTATTTTATTTAAACATCTTACCTGTATGTTATTTAGTTGGGAATCGTATTCCTGATCTTTTAGTTTGTGAAAAATACAGCCTTTTGTATATAAATATTTTTTCAATTTTACAGAATGATAATTTTAAGCGTTTTAAGGAATATTAAAGGCTTTTCTAAGATTCCTGAATGTACTTGTATGTAGATTAAGTATACAACCATGATTGTTTATGTATTATACTTCTCACATCATGTAAATTGTAATCTAGATAAATATATTTACCTGTATGTACAAAGGCTTCCATCTGCCATATATACAAGTTACCCTTAGTGACAGATTAAGTATAAACAGTACATGCAGAGTAGTAAACATGCACATGGAGAGTAAGAGTAGGCAGTGTATGAAATTTCTTTTTGAATAAACAAGAATTGTGTATGTATATAGTTAGAAACTAATGATGAAACTTAGATTTTATTTATATAAATGCACATGTGCAAAGGAATATCTTGAAGTTCTGAACCATTTAAAGTTAACCATTATTTATGATAACTTCTCAAATGGATAAAGTAAGTGTTCATAGATATTATTTAAAATATTCTTAGAACTTATTAAAACTGGAAAATGATGTATCTTCATATCCTAGGTAATACTAATTAATTATCAAACAAAAAACAAACAATGGATAATAATGACAAAGGTTGTTAAAGTTTTGTTCTGCAGTTTTGAAATAAATCGATGAAAATGTAATAAAATGAAAATCGTTTGTGTATGAAAAGATGAACATGACACATTTGAGCTAGGAATTACCGGAATTTGCTAATCAACAAGTCATCAGGCTCATTATTCAATTACATTCAACTAAACAATTATTCTAATAAAATGGCTAAAAAAAGGTTATTCTCATAAGTAAAAAGAAATTAATAAATAAAAAATTTAAAATTTCATTGCTTCAAAACTAGTTTTGATGCCCATGGTGGCCAGAGCACATACAACCCATTGTGTAGCTTTGTACTTAACAACAAACATGATGGCCATATTTCAGTTACTTAGAATAATTTAAAATAGTAATAACTGAAAAGACAAATTACAATTAGTTGATTATTTTCATGACACTAATCATTTATTTCATAATTCTGATAACTGGATAGTTGGAATTATTGGAAACACTAGTTGGCCATTTTTGTGACATGTAGTGCTTGGCAGTTAGTGGAATTTGGTACTCTATTAATAATCATGCTTATTAATCATTTACATTGAACTAATCATTTATTTTCATGAGATGGGTAAAAATAAAATATTCTCACGAGTTGACAAAACGAAATTATCGCACTACAAGTTATTGTGTAGTTTTGTGCTTGTCAACAAACAAACTTAATGGCAATATTTCAGTTACTTGGATAATTATAATATTCAAAAACAGTAATAACTGAAAACCATAATCTTAATTAGTTGATTATTTTCATGGGTTGTGACACTGGTGAATTAAGCTAAACAAATTTGAATTGGTTGAAAATAGCAAGGAAAAATCATAATGATAGTATTTGCTTTACTGGATAGTTGGAATAATCAAAAATACTAATTTCCATTAGTTGATTATTTTTGTGACATTACTCAGTTTAATCGTAATTTTGATTAATGGATAGTTGCATTGATCAGAAAACTAGTTGATTGTTTTTGTGAAATTAATTGATTTAATTATACTTTTGATTAATCAGTTATGTGACATTAATGTATTATATGGAGTTAATTGCCCAGGATGCAGATAGCCCAGTTGCTTTGCACCAAAAAATGCCAATCAACCAACCTCATTGCCCATCTCTTAACTGACATACTGTAAAGAAAAAGTCAAAACTGAAATCAAATTACTTAAGGTTTTGACAAGTTCATTTTCTTAAGTGAATAATTATCTGTATGGACATGTGCATACATATTTTCCATATTGAATAATCACTAAATTGTAAGTTGCTTTGGAATATAATATAAAGTTAATTTGTATGGACTAAAATATATTAAAGATTTTAGCTATGTTAGTTCTGTGTGTGTGTGTTCAGACATAGACTTTTAGCTAGAGATTCATCCACATAACATGTGGATGGGCAGTTGTCTATCAAGGTGGGGAAACCTTGAATAGGTGGATGACAAGATGGGCAAAAATATGAAATTAATTTCAATACAAACAAGATATATTTGTTTACAACACAAAAAATGGAAAATGGCTTTGTCCTTTGCCATTTAATAAAGTATCTGATTTCTTCATTTGTTCTGTCATGTATTGTTTACAAGTATTGATGTCTATCAGTACTTTGACTGTAGATTCTTCAGCATTTGTGGTATCAAAAGATATTCCAACCGTGACTGTGTTAAATATTAATTTTAAATATTTTAAGCTTTTTTAAATAAATTTTAAGCCAATATTTCTATGTATATGGTTTGAATATATAAAAATAATGTAAATATTCAATAAATAATTAATGGTGGTTGAATTTTTTTTATATTACATAAACTACAGTTTCAAAGAATTCAAAAGTGTAGGTACTTTGAATTAGTTAAAGATAGTAGCAATTGAAAAACAAAAAAACTACTTGGTATTCTAGAAATATTGTAATGTATATTCTGAAGTATTTGGAGCTGAAAAATGTTCAGTACTTATGTTAGTATTAATGGTATAGTAGATCTGATGGAGGAATTTCTACCTTCAAAAAGCTTTGTTACATTATTGTTATTCTACACACACAAAATTTGTATAAGAATAATTTTAATGTAGAACAATTTGTCCAAATATTTTTTAAAATATGCTTCCAGACTTACAATCCGTATTAGTTTCTTCTTACTGAATAATTTGTATTTGTATAAATATTTGTGTTCTTAAAACATTTAAAACAAAAACAAAAAAGGCAACAAGTTACATATAATATGAGAATTTATTTTTCCTATATGTATGTGTTTGTATACTTCAAACAATTCTGCACAACTTTCTAGACAGGCATGGATGATGTATAAATGTGTAATCTCTTGGGATATAACTTGTTGTGAAATAATTATACATGAAATTTTTTTTTCTTTTGTAGAGAGTATTCGAAATGTGCTTGGAAGAAATGTGAAGGTTTCCTTGAAGTGTATTGTACGTATGGAAACCAAGCCAGAAAAGACAGAAAACAGAGTATTGGTAAGCCTCTTCATTAGAAGTTACATAGTCAAAAACTGGTGAATCATAAAACATTTTAATTGGAAAAATTATTCTAAATGATTTAACTTTGAAAATGTAGTTTTTCATGAGCAGAAAAAATTAAAAAATTTGTTAAGTTCGATTACAACTTCACTTTATAGTAGGTGTACTGATTGAAAGTTGCCAAGTTGAAAAATCTTGTTTCCCCTTAGATAGTCTAAATATATATTCAATTTAGTCATCTAAGAATACATGTATGCTACACATGTACATTAATTGTAAATGATGAAAGGTAGTACAGAACTTCAAACCTTGAATGAAATTACTTTTTGTGGTTTAAAAATAAGTTTATTAAAAGAATATCTCAAAATGTTAAAAAAACCATTCTTAAGTAAAAGTACATTAAGTCATGTTTTATACATGCTGAACATTTAAGTTCTGTAATTTGAACAATGTAAACAAGGCTACTGTATAAATTACATTTTCTAATCAAATATGAAAAGCACTGTTATAAAATTCTAGTTTAAAGTATTATAAAATAAAGGTAATTGTTTTAATTTATACACATAAATGTATGGTTTCCTCATTTGTAAAATGTAATGAATGTGAAGTGTTTTTGAGAGATTACGTTAGAAAAGACTATGTAAGTAATTTTAAGTTAGTTTTATTTCCTAAACTCCAAACCAATCAAATAGGTTGTTATTCTGGATATTTACCTTCTGTTTTTGTAGCTATAGATAGAATGTGGGTGGTCCTTTAACATTTTTAATCCCTAAAAGATTAAACTTAAATGTATTTTGTGCAATTGTTTAATATGATATAATTTATAATTAGCATAAGATACTTTTGTTTTCTGTTTACTTATATTCATTTTCTGTTTACACACTTTTTTGTTATTTTCAAGGCCTTTTCTTCCTGCAGACTTTTCATTCTCACAGCCAAAGTTCCTACAAAGGTGAGTAAAGTTTATATGCCAACTTACCCATTTTTAAATGTTTTGTAAATTTGTTTGACTCGGCACACTGCTCTTTGCACATGTCTTAACTATTATTGTACTCCTAGTCTTAACTGATAAAAATGTATGAAGAGCAGAGATCACAGTAGAGCTTTGAAACGTTTGATAATTTTTTACCATCATTATTAACCCTATAGCTATAGGTTTTCCTACAGGTTGGGGTCAGAGGGCATGTCATCACATTTGTAGACTTACATTCAAAATTTGATGGAACTACTATTTTATGGATGTATGGCAATAAGTTTGGCCATAAGTTTATAGATTATAATTTAAATCTTAGTATTATACATTAGTTAATTTCTTAATGTAAAAGTAAGTATTAAAACAAAATTCCTAAATATCGACTTTTGAGTGTTACAGGGTATGTTGAATGCAGCTTTGGTTCAAATTATGTGTTTAACTCTAATTACAAAGTCTTTAGTAAACTCAAATTACTGATATTGACAGGCTAGAATATAAAATATGAACTTCCTATCTTTTTATTTACTGAGATATCACTATATTTAGCAATTCAAACACAGTGGCCCTACCCACCCCTTCCATTTTGCAAATACTTGTTTATGTACACGAACTTCACTCTTTCACATGTTTCTAACCAATCAAAATCCCATAACTTCCCCCATTTGGTTTTCTCAGCCTATACAAGGTGTCTATTCACCAAAAATAGTCTTTTTGTTTCGAAGCTCGAAAAGAAGGGGTAAGACGAATTGGTGATCGAAAAATATTTTTTTAGGCCCAAATACAGCTTGGTCAGTAAGCCTGATAAATTAACGTGGAATCCTGTGGTATAGGTATAATAATTTATAATTTTTTTTTATTTCAAAATGCATATATAAAACATAAAAAATTTTTAGTTTTTTGCAAGGTACAGCAAGGGAGTACAAACTTTGTAACAGTTGTAAGAAGTAGAGATTGTTTTCTATATTTCTTTATTTACTGTTCTATGCTTTAAGAAAAATAAGAGAAATTTAAGAATTTATTTGTAAATAGTAATAATATGTATACACATTATAACTGAAATGTGATTGTATTTTACAAAATACTGGTCTTCTGAACAAAGCTAAGACATTTGCACTTTGTGAAGACCAGTTTTATGCTATTGAATATAATAACATGAGTTACATATGTGTTGCATGTTGAAACTTTTATGATGTTAGTCAGACATGGCTGAAAGGTCAACAAAATAATAAATATAAATAAATGTATAATGTTACGAGACTTAAGCTATTTAGAATAAACACTTGTGGTTTCCTGTTACAATTTGTAGTCATTCTAAAACAAAAAAACATAATTTAGATCTATTTCCTAATTTTTTGTGGTGGTTACAAGGTCAGTCAATTTGACCAAACCCATACAGAGAAAAGAAAAAGAAAATGACAGATAAAATATAAAGTTTTTCTTAAAAAAGTTTGATAGCTATCTGGAGGTTAGAGATTTCACAAATTAAATTGGAAAATTTTCAGATGAATAAAAGTATTTTAAATCTTAAAATCTAAATTACTTTGCATGTTGGATAGTCAAAACTTAAAAAGAAAAAATGCACAAGCAAATATTTAATTTAAAAATCTTAAAACTTAATTTAAAAACCTGATATTTTGTGTATGAAAGCCTTGTAATGTTTACTGATAATGTCCAAAATTTACTTTGGTTACTTTGTTGATCACAAGCTAAGTCGATTCCACCCATCCTGTAGTCAAAGAGTTAAGGTGCAAAGAATGGGTGTATTATATTTTTTGGTGTCAATTTATTAATATACATGATTTTCTAAAAACTAAATCTAAAAACTACTTGTGTTTTAAGGATTAACTAACTGACTTGAACCTAGAGCCATTAATTTAAATTCAGCCTATAGTTATGGGTAGGTTATAACATAAATCAGGCTAAATACATTGTATTATTAACATTACGTATACATCAAAGACTAGTTATTGTCACTTCTGATAAAGTTCTATATAATTAAAGATAAACTTTATTACTTTAGTGTGAAGACAAACTGGTGATAAAAATAAAATAACAATATAATTGGTTCTTAAATGTTAGACTTAACAGTAACAGTGTTGACAATAGGCTACTGGTATTTGGTATTAAGTATTTATTTTCAGGGTACAAGTATAAATACAATGGTTAAGACTAGTGTAGGAATTAAGTGCTCACAGTATGTTAGGTGTAATGGGTGCAATGAGTGGATTTTATTTTGGAACTATGGGTTGGCATGTACTTTTGAGGAAGCTAGTAATGAAGATGTGCAACTTGTTTGTAGGTTGAAGGAGAATTTGGAGGCAATCATAATTAAAGTAGAGGCAATAGATAAAGAGAAGTGTAGACTGTGGAAAATGGCAGCAGGATTTGAAGAGGAGCTTAAGTTTTTACATGCAAGGAATACATCAGCTAACAATGACTTTCGGGAAGTTAGAAAGAGTACTATTAGGGCTAAAAGTAATGAATTTAACTGCAATGAGCCTATTCTATTGAGCAACAGAAAAGGATGTGAATGATAAACTTAAGGAGGATATAGTTACAGATGATTCCTTGACAAAGCATTTTAGATAGGATAGTCTGTGGGGTAAATAGAGAGAAGCAGATCAGATCATGCTACTCAGGAGCACAGGTGGAGGTTATAACTGACAGAGCAGGAGATATAATAAAGGGGGCTAGCAGAGATGCAGTTTTTGTGATGAATGTAGGGGCTAATGATGTAGGGAAAGGTATTTAAGAGGAGCTAATTAATAAGCACAGGGGGGTTGATAAAGGCATTTTAAGGAAAAGTCCATAACTTAATTTTGTCAGGATACTGCCCAGTATAAACTGTGGGGATGAAGTAAAAGTAGGTCACTAGGGCTAAATGTTAGGCTTAGGTTAGTATGTAAGGATGAGCAGATTGGCTGGTTTGACTTGTGGTATCAGTTAAGTGGAAGAAAGGAGCTTTTTCGAATGGATGGTTTACATTTAAATAAGATAGGGGCTGCTTGTTTGCTATGTCTATTAACTCAGCTGTAAGGGAAGTTTTAAACTAGGACTAGATAGTGGTGAGGGCCAGTATAAACTAAATGAAAAAATAATAAGAGGCTGGGAAAAGTTTAGCATAGGAAATGAGTATAGAAGTAGTTATAAGGGTAGGCTTAATTGTTATTAATGTAATGCTAG